ACACGAGACTATTCGAGTGGTTTATTATTAATGCATACCAATTATTGTAAGTTATCTTAGTGTTAGTGGAATTTACATAAAACACGGAGCTCTTTTTAAAGAAAGTTGTCTCAAGATCGTGAATCACAATATCCTGATCATAAAAATTGCCAATATATTCATGGCTAGATAAAGGGTGGATCGAAAATCACAAAATTAAAAAAAAAATTGACAAATTGAATTGGAATACCAACCAAAAGTTACCTTTAGTAACGGTAATAAGAATACTGTGCAAGTAAAAGTATGAAAGTAAATTGGTCTACTCATTATCACAATAAAAAGGATCTACTGTTAGTATGACATCTTAACTAAAATTATTTCAGTTAATAGATGTTCAAATAGACGCAAAATTTATTGTGAAATTTAATCTGAAGATAACAAAAATTTTTGCGCAAATGCTCCTATAAATAAATACAATGAAGTCTATGAAGCCAAATGTGTTCATCAGACATTTGGGTTGGGTTTCGGTGAAATGTAAACACCAAAGAGGCGTACCGGATTTCTTTGATATTACACTATTTTATTACTTTATTAGGTACTACAACTGTAATGAAACGAAATTGGCGGAACGATGGTTCAGAAACCAGAAAAAGAATCTAATATTTCACTTTGTTAGTTTTAAATATTTGTTTCTTTTGAGTGGATATACTCTTAAAAGTTACGAAAGTAACGAGTATAACATACCGACTATTGATAGTTAAAGTACCGAGTCGTTACAGATATTAAAAAGTAACAAAAATTTACATAAAGTTTCATATATCGCCGACTGATTTTAGATTTAAAAACCGTCCGTATAGAGGTGTCCGGTGAAGAGAGGTGTCCGTTAAGAGAGAATTTAGTGTAGTGTATTTGTTTATTGAAGCCAAAAATGCCGAGACGTGTTTTAGATGTAGACAACTTTACACATCTCGATACTATCAAATGCCTTTTCATAGTCTACGAAGACGAAGGCAAGAAATACGGGTAATCGGTACTTATTTGCCTTCTCAATCAGTGTTCTCATTATCAGCGGATGGCCTGATGTACTATATCCTTTGCGAACGGCAGCCTATTGGTAATCATCAATTAGACATCCATCATCATATGATATTGTTGTAAATGCCAAATTTATTCATTAAGTAGGTTCACGATTCGGATTCTATAGAGTGATAGGACAAGGTCGTTGCGGTTGATGCTTGCACCGTTTAACGCAGTGTAGCCAAATTGGATGTGCTAGCATCTTTCAGTAGGATAACTTCTTATTGTGCAGTATTATCCAAATGTTAATATTTCTTTTCCATTAATATTTAATTATAAATAATAATTTATTTTAGATCTAACAATTCTGAATTGCGTTCAAGTAATCATTTTTAGTTATGAATAATTTATGAAATCTTAGTTTATAGTTCATTACTTTGTTTAAGTCAATTTCCGGTCAGTTCTTCTAGAGTTCCTCAAGAACGTTCCTGATACACACAATTGGGCACAATTTTTCGGAGATTTTTTTTAACATAATCTTTTTTGAGAACGATTTGCGCAATGGAAGTCGAAACGTCAACATTAGTAGTAGTTAAAAGTAATTTTCATTACAACCGATAATTTTGGCTTAATCCAATATAAACATAATCTTTAAATAAATCTTAAAATTCCACTCATTCTAATTTTTCAATCGGCCAAACAAAACCATTGAAATTCAATTAGGAAACTTTTTCGTTCGATTCAAGTAGTAGATCAGAATTATTTTCGAACTTAAAAAATAGGTTAAGGAGATTAACATAATACCGCTAGTTGAAAGATATGTTTGGCCCATCGATAAAACAAATCTTTCCCAACTTGACACTGTAGACGAATTTTTGTTGTTTGAAAAACTATATATACATATATTAGATTTTTTGATTTTTGTTATCGACAGTTTATTATTTCAAATAATCTTTTTGATATGGAAGGTTCTGTAGTTTTGGAATTAAAACAATTCTAGTTTCTCGTCACTGAATATTTCACCAACTGATTGTTGACTTCATCAGAAGTTCACCTCTTGCACGTGATGGTAAATGCACTAATATTCTCAATATTTCTTAACAGAGCAGAAACTGAAATCTTCGTGCATAAGAACATAAAAAATTGATAACTTTCAAAAGTGGTCATGGAGAAAAATTCTGGGCATATCTTGAACAGCTTATCGGACAAATGTTTTCTTTCTTGACGAACTTCTCATTAAAAACTGTCCACAACATTTATGCAGCAAATTCTATAGTTATTTGGTCACGTGATTCTCAAAAATTACGATAATTTAAAGAGATTAATAATATCCTGGAGACGTTCTAGGGAGAAGACCAAGAGAACGATCACCTACTGGATTTTCCGACCAAATTCAGAATTCAAAAGGCCACTCATTCTGCAAAACTCTTATTGCAACTGAAGATAGAGACCATGGAGAAAATTTGTTACGAGTATTGGAGGAAAGCATGGTCCTCTGAAACGGAGAAACGACAAGAGAGAGAGAAACAAATTTTATTTTATCATAAATTTGTTGAAATTTATTTTTATCATCAAAATAGTTGCACAAAAAAATAAATCTACATATAAATATAAAAATATCTCTAGATTTTTGCGATCTGCCCGGTGTCCATGTATTCCTATGATTTCATGATGACGGTTCTTTATTTTATGAGTTTTACTCGTTACTTAGACTGCTGAACGTTGTGCTGCGATTTCTACCTTATCGTCTGAATTAATCTGGGCTCAAATAAAGTGATCATTTTCTTCTTCTTAGGGTGCCTGTCCGTTCCGAACGTTGGCGATCATTCTGGCTATGATGACTTTGTTGGTTGCTATACGAAATAGCTGTGTTGAGATCTTTCTATACCATGCTCTCAGGTTAGCAAGCCAGGATATTCTTCTTCGTCCTGGGGCTCTTTTTCCTTCAATTTTACCCTGCAAAATGCATTGGAGTAGCTCGTATCTGCCTTGATTTCTCATTATATGTCCCAAGTACTCCAGCTTACGGCTCTTCACAATGTTGGCCAAATCCGCGGTTGTGTTCATCCTCCGCAGTACTTCTTCATTGGTGACTTTGTCTGTCCATGGTATTTTCAGGATTCTTCTGTATAATCATAATTCAAAGGCCTAAAGTTTTGATATAGTTTCTGCCGTCAATGTCCACGTTTCTACTCCATACAGAAGCACTGAGTACACGTAACATTTAAGGAGCCTTATTTTTGTTTTCAGGTGATCATTTGCTAGAAACAATACTATGTCTAAACCTGTAGATATTAGTAATCTGGTCAGACCACGTGACCCACAACGAGGCGCTAAGAAGAATGGGTACTGAGAGAGAACTCCTAAATATTGTAAAAAAAAAGAAAAAAGAGTTATCTAGGACATATTTACAGAGGAGAAAAATACAACTTTCTATGACTTATCATGGAAGGAAGAAGAGGTCCAGAAAGAATAAAATGCTCCTGGTTAAAGAATAAGAGACTGGATAGGTATGGACACATATTCGATACTAAGAACACATAAAAACACATAGCAAAAGAAAAAAAATTCTGAAAACTCGATATGATAAGAGAAGAATCAATATAACAATCCTAATTGTTTTATAAATGACGACTGTGGTGATGATGTTGATGATGGTGCTATCTAATCCGAAGAGAATGATATATTTTTTTAGGTATGTAATCAATGTATGTCCATATTGACAATTGGATGATACAGCTGTGGGCAGGTCAGGGAAGTACCTTCACTGAAGTTGAAGTAAAACTGACAGACCCTAGAAGACAGCACTATACTATGACGAAAACCATCTGAAACCCAATCCTACAAAAACCCAGGTGTGTGCTTTCCACCTTAGAAACAAGCATTCCCGAAGGACACTGGAGATGGAATGGTGTGGTCAGATGCTGGAACACAATGAGACGCCAAAATATCTCGGCATACGTCTGGATAGAACTTTGTCTAATCGATATCACTGTCAAGATATCAACGAAAAAGTAAGCGCCAGAAATAATATCATTTGCAAACTAACAAACACAAAATGGGGAGCACAAGCACACACTCTCCGTACTTCTGCCTTAGTTAGCATTATGTTTTTCTGCCACCGAGTTTGGAGCACCAGTGTGGGAAAACTCTACTCACGCTAAAAACGTCGATGTTGGTTTATGAAACGGTTCGTATAATATCTGGTTGCCTGAAACCGACACCTATCGAAGAGGTCTACCTTATAGTTAGACTAAGTAGACTAAGATCTCGGAAAAGCTTTCTGAAAAAATCAAGATCCCTTCTCGAAGAGCCAAAGACGCGCCGAAGACACCTATGTCAAGCGTCAGATACAACAAATTTTGCTCCCTCAGAGGAAATAGCCGCTGCACACAATTTGCCGCATTTGGCGTTCCACATTGTGCTAGTAGCCTGAAGAAATGGGGATACCAGGAGGACGATACCTGCGACTGTGGCGCGGTTCAGAATAGTCACCATCTACTATCATGCACAGAGATGAGAGAGACCTGCACAGAAGAAGACCTATTTTTAGCGAATGACAGGGCCATCTATGTGGCCAACCATTGGAAACACAAAATTTAAAGCTGTTGGTATTCCGGACACGAAAAAGTATGTATTGACAATTTATGACAATCTATGTCTCTATGGTAAGGTATCTCTTATAGAAATAAGAAGACTAAAATGGGCAGGACATCTGGCAAGATCACAGCAATACAATCCTTCTAGAAGAATCCTTATGTCACAACCTGTGGGAAGTAGAAGTAGGTGTAGGCCAAAACTCAGATGAAGGGATGGTGTAGATGAGGATGGTAGAAAAATACTCGCAGCAAACTGGTAACAGTTGGCAATGGATAGAACTTACTGGCGTAATAGACTTGGGAAGGTCGAGGCTCTTTTATAGGGCTGTAGCACCAATGATGATGATGATTTCTCTATGGTAAAATAAACTCATGTTCTTATGCAATAAAAATCCAAAGTCTTACCTTTCATCTTTAGGATGCACAGTAAATGTCTGCTTGCTTAACTCCAATATGGACGCCTCACTCTGCGGTTCCGCCGAAATACCCGCCCTTTGTTTACGAGGTCTCATACCTTTAGGACTCGTCGGATTTTGAACGCGAATAACACTTTGGAATTTGTCCAACTGCGACCGTAAATCCGATATTTCGATTTCGCGTATCTGCAGCTGCTGCTGCAGATCCTGCAGCCGTTGTTCCCGCATCACTTCGCGATCAAAACTCTGAATTTGACGTGTCAATTCCTCAATTTTCTCGTCCTTCTGGACCAGCAGCGCCTGAAACAAAAAGATGATAATGTAAATGTTATAAAAATATGTTATCGATACAATGCGATTGATTTTCCGGTTATTTCTTTTTTTTAAATTTATTTAAAAGGGAAAATTTCTACGAGCTCCTTTAGACTGTAAAAAACGAGACCCTAAATGATGAATATATAATCATTATGGGTGATTTTAATGCCCGTATTGGTAATAATATAGGTCCAGGAATAAAACAGCAATATAATGAAAATATCGTATTAATAATACATTTTTTCCTCACAAAACCAATACAAATACACTTTTGAAAACAGTAGAGGACAAAGATCTATGATATACTATTTTCTGTCGAATAGAGAGTTACACCCCTTCCAAATCTTGAAAGTAAGACTCTAGTAACATAAGCAGAAATAGGAAGCGATCATAAATTGGTATTATGCAAAATCCGACTGAAAACACATATGTGATAACAAAGCCAGAATACAGTACAAAGATAAAAGTCATATGGGTTTCAAATGATGGAAGAACACGAAATCAAATAGATCATGTCCTCATTGACGAAAGACACTCTAGTAGCATTATTAATTCGCGAAATATGAGAGGAGCTGACAGCGATAGCGATCACTTTCTGTTGAAATCTAAGTTAAGAACTCGATTATCAATACAGAAGCCGGAACAACAAGAAAAAAGGAAATATGGAACATAGAAGCCCTGCAAACACCAAATAACGAACTGGATTATCAAGCGGCAATAAGCAACAGATAGGCCAATTGCTGGGAGAGGAAGAGCATATTGTAGAGTTAGAACAAGCATAGCAGCAAGTGGCATCAGTTATAGGACAAGCAACCAAGGAAACCATTGGAAAAAAAAAATCGCCCAAAAGCATGCGAGGAAATTCTGGAAATAAAAACGAAAAAAAGATTGAAAATGCTACAAGACCCCACAGAGATCAAAGCAGATTTTAACAGAACAAGAGTACTAGCAAGGCGACTATTCAGAACTAAAAAGAGGAGCTACCTAGAACAGCAAATCCGGGAAATGGACAAAAGTGGCGAAAGGAATCAAATAAGGAAGTTCTTTAGTGAAGTGAATCAGTCACAAAAGATGCAAGTCTTAAAGTAACACAGCCTATGAGAAATCAAGCAGGTGAATGATAGAAAGGGAAATCGTCGAACGATGGAAGAAATACTTTCGGAATTTACTAAATATTGAAAGTGAGACGGAGGAAGCAGATATTACGTTTCATTCTGCAGATATCGAAATACCAGCACCAACACTTGAGGAAGTAAAGAATTCGATCGCGTCTCTAAAAGAGCATAAAGCACCAGGAAATGATGGCATAAATGGAGAGTTGATAAAAAAAGAAGGAAACCTTTTACAACAAAAATTGTATGACATCATTCTGAGAGCATGTCTGAGAGAGAATGGAATGGAAGTGTTATAATTCCCATATATAAGAAAGGAAACAAAAACCATTCCGTAACTATAAAGGCATATCGCCCATTAGCACATCATATAAAGTGTTATCAATTATCTTGCCTAAAGAGACTCATACCATATTCGGAAGATATTCTAGGCGACTACCAATGCGGCTTTCGTACTGAAAGGTCAACTATAAATCAGATATTTACCAGAGAAAAACTGGGAATTCAACTGAGATGTGCACCAAATTTTAATAGATTTCCAGCAAGTATATGATTCCATAAAAAGAAGCAAATTGTAGATAGCAATGTTAGAAATGGGAATACCAAGAAAATTAGTTGAATTAACACAAATATGCGTGACACACTTATATGGGCAAGTAAAGATAGGAAGAAGAACATCGATGCCATTTGGTATAAATTCAGGACTTAGGCAGGGGACCCCTTGGCACCGTTGCTGTTCAATTTTGCTTTAGAATATCAAAAACTACCACAGATTTGTTGGTGCCGTGCTAAGTGTAGCCAAAAAACACATACCAAGAGGATATCGCAAAGAATATGTTCCTGGCTGGTCGGAAAATAGCGAGGAACTATATCAGAGCTTTCTTGAAACTGGCGACCAAGAAATAGCGGATGAACTACTGTACAGCCTAGACGCCGCTAGAAGACAAAAGTGGACCGAAACAGTAGAAAGTCTAAACTTCCAGAAATCAAGCAGACAGGCATGGTCATTACTAAGAAAATTAGGGAGTGGTGTCCGTACGAAACGTCAAGAGGCAGCCGTAAAGCCAGATGCCATAGCATCACATATAGTAAAAACATCCAGAGTACCAAAGGATAAAGCACATACTATCTACGTAAAGAGAGAACTTAAAACTTTAAAACATGTAGCCACAGAAACGGAGCATTCCCTCCCCTTCACCAGCGAAGACATATCAGAGGCTCTAAAAGATGTTAAGCCAGCAAAAGCACCAGGATTTGATAATATTCACCCTGAATTCCTACTAAATTGTGGCAAGTATACAAAAGTTTGGTTGGCTCAATTTTTCACAGACATCATGGAAACTGGAAATATCCCACAAGAACTAAAGCGCTCTAAGATAATAGCCATACCAAAGCCAGGCAAACCCGCTGACAACCCAAAAAAACTACAGACCAATTGCGCTTCTCTCTGCCATCTACAAACTATTAGAGAGGCTTATATATAATAGAATCAGTACAGAACTGTTCCAGGTGATCCCAGTCGAACAAGCGGGTTTTCGACCAGAACGAAGCTGCGCGGACCAGGTCATGTCACTCACCACCTACATCGAAGCGGGTTTTCAAAGAAGACTTAAAACTTCAGCGGCATTTATTGATCTCTCGGCAGCTTACGATACAGTATGGAGAGAGGGCCTTATATACAAAATTCTCCGTGCAATTCCCTGTAAACAAATAGCACGTTTAATAGATAGCATGCTCAACGACCGAATGTTTCAAGTAGTGATGGGCACAGATATCAGCCCACCAAAGAAACTTAAAATGGCCTACCACAGGGGTCAGTGCTCTCTCCATTACTATTTAGCTTATATTTAGCAGATATGCCAGAAACACAATCAAGAAAGTTCGGATACGCCGATGACTGGGCCCTCACTACACAATGCCGAACGCTAGAAACATCTGAAGAAGTTCTGACGGCAGACTTATATATATTGAGCAAATATTTTCGCAAGTGGCGGCTTCAACCAAATGCATCCAAAACAGAAGTAAGTTGCTTTCACCTGAACAATAAACTTGCTGGAAAGGAACTTAACATACGGTTTGAAAATACCACACTTTCCCACAACAAAACACCGAAGTACCTGGGCGTAACACTAGACAGAACGCTATCATTTAAAGAGCATTTAACAAAAACTGCCCAAAAGTTGAGTACCAGAAATAACATTATACAGAAGCTCTGCGGTACCACCTGGGGAGCATCGGCTTCCACTCTCCGCTCTACTGCTTTAGCCCTAGTTTTCTCGACCGCTGAATATTGTGCCCCAGTTTGGCTACACAGCCCACACGTAAAAAAGGTCGACACTCAGCTGCACAGCACTATGAGGATGATATCTGGTACAATTAAATCAACTCCCACCCAATGGCTTCCAGTATTAAGTCACATTCCACCTCCACATTTACGACGAGTTGACGCACTTACACGTGAATACAAAAAGATCATGAACAATATAAACCTGCCGATCCACCAAGATACCGAGGATGCACGAAATACCCGTCTACGTTCTAGAAAACCACCAATGAAAACGGCAAGAATGATACATGAGGAGTTCAACATCACGAATGCATGGTCCCAAGAATGGAATGCATGGCAAAATAACATGCCCTGTATTACCCACAAGCCACCAGGTTTTGATCTTCCACGTAAAACATGGTCCACTCTAAACAGGATCCGAACCAGACATGGCAGATGTGCATACATGCTACATAAATGGGGAAAGAATCCGTCTCCTCAATGTGACTGTGGGAAGGACCAAACGATCGACCACATTATTGAAGAGTGTCCCTCAAGATCTTATAACGGTAGCCCTGAAGACTTCCTGTTTGCAACTTCAGAGTCAATTGATTATGTTAATACACTTGATGTTTGTTTGTAATTATTTAAAGTTTGTCATATACCTATATTACTAGTGTTTGTAATTTTATTCTAAATGTGTTGTAATTGCCATACGATAAATAAATAAATAAATTTGCTTTAGAATATGCAATAAGTAAAATATCGTCTAAGCTGACAGGAGGATTTGCTGATCAAGGATCAAAACTGTTTGCTGATGATATATATGCAGTCACGCATTCTACAAGAGACCTGTGAGAGGTGTTTTCACAGCTCGAGGAGAAAACAGGTAGTCTGGGTCTCCGAATAAATGAAGAAAAGACGAAATGCATGGTAGTTACCAAAAATCCAAGACCAAGAGTTAGGCAGAACATCAGTATTAATGATCACAACTTCGAAGTAGTAAATGAGTTTAAATACCTGGAAGCGATAATCACAGCTGACAAACACATGGAAAGAGAGGTCTCAGCAAGGATTGATGCGATAAATAGAGCATTAAACTCCCTTTCAGTATTATTAAGATCTAAGCTGCTAAAAATAAAATCTAAATTAACACTGTACAAGTCGATTATTCGCCCAATTATTACATATGGCAGTGAAACATGGACTCTCAACTAGCGGGAAATCAATAAGCTTCTAGTATTTAAAAGAAAGGTTCTCAGAATCTTTGGCCCTCAAAGAGATGAATTCACAGGATATTGGAGACGACGCCCCAATGCTGAATTGATAAACCAAATAAGATGGGTAGGTCACGTGGTACGATCAGAGGATGACAGAGTGTTAAAGACGGTTTTTTTTTAAGACCAGATGGTAGAAGATCAGTAGGCCGAACGAGAAAAATATGGAAGGATGAAGAAGATGTTGAAGTCGATTTATCCAGAATTGGGGTACAACAATGGGAAATAGAAGCACAACATCGTAGACGTTGAAGGGTGATAGTGGATGAGGCGAAGACTCACACCGAGTTGTAAAGCCAGTGAAGAAGAAGACATATCACAGAAAGTCATGAAGTCAAAGAAGGCTGGTCAAAAGTAAGTGAGAAATCACTAGAGTATAATAGACCAGCATTTCTGTGTTTGATTGACCTAAAGAAAACGTGTGACAGAGTAAGATGTATTCTATCTTCTGTATAATAGAGAAGTTCCCCTAAATATTATAAAAATTATTCATAACATCTACCAAAACAACAAAATGGAAGTCAGCATAGATGGACAAATTACAGAATCTACAGAAATAGGCAGCGGAATAAGACAAGAGCTCCATGCTCTTTAATTTAATCATGGATGAAATTATCAAAAGCGTTAACAAAGGAAAAGGATACAGAATGGGAAACAAAGAAATAAAAATACTGTTATGCAGACGACGCAATATTGATAGCCCAAGACGAATACAGTCTGCAAAAATTGATTTAACACAAGAGCAAAAGAATTTACTATGACAATCTCATTTTAGAAAACTAAAACAATAGTAGTGAGCAAAGAACCGACCAAATGTAAAATAGACTGGCAGGATGCCTTAATAACACTATATGGCCAAACGGCAGAGATGAGAGTACTGAGAAGAATTACAGGATCACTTACAATTACAATATGCTGAGAGATGGAAAGATAAGAAAGATAAGATAAGAAAGACATTAGAAGAAAATGTAACGTATAGTGTATCAACAAATGGACAAAGATAGAAAAAAAGAATGGAATAACCACATAAGCAGAATGGAGGAGACCCGTGTCATCAAAATAGCAAGAGATGTCACAATCGGTAGAAGAAGTATCGAACGACCGTGCAAAAGATGGAGTGACAACCTTCCATAGAAGTATTAATCCGGCAATGAACAAGCAGAATTGCTTAGAAGAGGAAGAAGAAGAATACTGACCCGTAATTTTCATACCTGTTAGGTATATAATCCATGATTTTGTATTGTTATGTCTATGTGAGCAGCGTGGAATCTTTGAAAAACAATATTATATCAAATTGCATTTAAACAGAAGAGGATATTATTTTGATTGACTTCAGTTTGACCACTTTTCCTGCTGTTTTAGATCAGTGAAGATTTGCATTTATAATTAACTGCTAGTTGCAATCATATAAAGTACACCAATGTAATTTAGATTACACTCAATTGTTGTTTAATCCCATAAAAATATAATATTTAACTTATGATATGACATATGAAAACAGCTATAAAGTTTATAGTTCAAAATAAATGGAATGATAACTTCAATAAATAATAAAAAAATTGATGGAAAACTTTCGGGAGAGACAGGAGTATTTTAACAGATGCTTATATTTATCAGTAAACTATTCAATCGTGATTGATGATTATAATATCTAAATGGTGCATCAAGTAAAAGCTTTATACTGCCTTTGCTTATCAGTACCTAATCAGATACATGATACATATGATGATGGTGATGATAATTTTATAGAAATTTTAATATAGTTTGAAGGTCAGAACAAAACACAATGGAGTTTTGTATCAACATTATTTAAAAAGTAAAATATGCCAACAAAAATCGAAAAACCCTTACCTTGTTACGATTTTTAAAAAACCGGCGAAAAACTTTGTTCATACCCATGTTAACAATCACAATAAAATATTATACTAACTTATTGTCAGCAGAATAATTCAAGTGACAAAAATAAAATTTTAATCTACTCCAATTATCGATAGCATATTGAGTGATAAAGATAAAACATAAGTAATGACGAAGTTATACGTATATTGGGACCCATGAGTATTTTTGAATGCGGTACAAGCGAAATAGATGATTTCAAGGGTATTCGATTAGGAATAAAAAAATTAACATAATTTTTATCTAAATGATAACTTCTGTTGTTGTATAAACATCAATTGATTGTTAAAATTAGTGAAGTAATAATTATATAAACACCTACGTACACTGCTGGACATACTTCTGCCTTCCTGGCTTCATTATCTACAGTTTATATCGTTTCTTCTTCTTTATCTCCTAATGGCGCTACAACTTCTTTATGGGTCTTTACAGGTCTTGTTGTAAGGGTGTAGAGTTGTGTTATAGAGGTAGCACTTGTTATTGGAGCGTCATAGACGGGAGATGGTTCTTGATAACTGGTCCTCATACGACAACTAACTTTCACTTATGGCTCCACGTGCCATACCCCTGGCAACTGCGTTGATCTGCAGGCTAATCTAAGTGAGGGTAGCCAGATATGAGGAAAATTCCACCAAGCAATTGCAGGAGCTAGTAAACAGTAGGGCACTTCTTTATCCTGGAGTTGGGAAACTGGCTTCAAAGGCGGAAGAACCGTGGACGCAGTCAACAGCATAGAGATAAGGAAGAAAAATTGGGACAAGACACCTTATTAAAGATCCGAATTTCATACGTCCTAGTAGAATCAAATGGCTACGCTTGCATAGAAATTCAATTCCGGAATAAGCACATCAATCAGATAAGTTACAAGTATAGCAAAAGGATTAAAATGCACATCAGAATAGGCACATGGAAACTTGAAAACCATGGCACAGGAAGGTAAAATCCATAATGCAAGAAATGGCATACATGAAATTAACTATCCTGCAATAAGCGAGATGCGCTGGCCAGGTTCAGGAACCACAAATATCGGGAAACAACGCGTTTACTATTCTGGAACAGATAACGGCAGACATGAATTGAATTAGGTGTCGGCATTATATTGACAAAAATTCATCACAATCTCAGCAAGAGTAATGCTCATACAACTGAAAGCAAGAATCAATCGACATAAATATAATTCAAGTGTATGGACTTACAAAGTAACCAATGAAGAAGTACTACAGAGAATGAATCCAACTGCGGATTTGGTCAACATCGTGAAGGGCCGTAAGATGCAGTACTTGGGACATATAATGATAAATTAAAGCAGATACAAGCTACTTCAATGCATTTTACAAGGTCAAATTAAAGAAAAAAGGGCCCCAGGACGAAGAAGAATATCCTGGCTTGCTAACCTAATAGCATTTTTATAGAAAGACCTCAACATAGCTATTCTGTACAGCAACGAACAAAGTCATCATAGCCAGAATGATCGCCAATGTTCGGAACGGATAAGCACCCTAAAAAGAAGAACGGGTCTCGTGTGGATACTTTACTTCACCACTGCCTGATGTTCACTTGTTTATGCAGTTTTACTTATGAAATCTAATATGAATCTCCGGATGCGTCTAGCAGTATCTGCATTTTGGCGGTTTCGCTGTGGTGACAAAATTAATAGCATATTCTTCTAATATTCAAAAAACTGTCGAATAAAAGCAAAAATACGGTTTTAAGCGATAATGTTGTTCATAACAACTTGCCTGAGCTCTTTTTTCTATTACACTGTATATTAGTAAGTTTCCGTTTTCCAAAGTCGTGGTTCCTCTTTCTTTTCTTTTATAGCTACTACTATATCTTATTGTCTTCTATTTTTTTTCCCTCGTTCTATTTTATTTCATACTGTAAAAAAAATATTGTAAAAGGATTTCGAAGAATCAAGATAGCCCGCACGACATCTTTAAAAATGAGGTCATTCTTCTGTGATGCATTCTAACTTGCAACTTCAACTTCGAAAGCGCATGGTTAAATGCTACATTTGGTCAGTCCTCTTATACGGTGTCGAAGCATGGACATTAAAAATATCTACCATTAATCGTCTGGAGGCCTTTGAAATGTGGCTGCACAGACGTATACTAAAAATTCCATGGACGACTATGCTGAGAAATGTGGCAGTCCCTGAGAGAGCAAATGCTGCTCGCGAGCTGCTTGATCACATCAAATGTAGAAAGATGGTCTATTTTGGACACGTAGTAAGGGGAGACCGATATAATATTCTTCAACTTAATATGATGGGTAAAATCGAAGGACGCAGAGGAATCGGTAGAAAGCAGGCCTCTTGGTTGAGGAATATCAGGGAGTGGACAGGAATAAAGAAAGCTGAGCAACTCTTTAGAATAGCTCGAGACAGAGACAGTTTCGCCATGTTAATCGCCAACGTCAAGGGGACTTGATAGGGCACATTAAGAAGAAGAAAAGGATTTCACAATATTTTTGGATAAAGGAGTTACAGTTTTCATGGAAATCGAAATTTAATGTTTCAAATTAAAACAAATTATTTAAACTCAGCCTAATAAATCGGTACATTTTTTCAGTGGTACGTTGGCATGCTTACAGAGGAAAATCAAGAGAAGACCAAAAATTATTTTATTTGCGAAACATCATACAAAAAATGGCGTGTGCCGGCGTGGACCATGAACGTTCTTCCCCAGTATCTTCAAGCTTCTGCGTCACAAAATGTTTCTTTCTACAAACTTCTCTCCTGTTTAGTACCTTGTAAATCAGTGTAGAACTTTCTATAGTTTACGTTTTCAAAATGTTGGGTCAAGTGGAGAAGATCTTCGGGATGATTGTGGCTAGTAACTTCCGACGTTGTGATATTAGGAGCTTTCCTTAAATTTATTTTCGGGTTCCATTTAGCTTTGCATTCGAACAGCAAGCTTGCAGATAACCCAGAATAAGTATTCTTGTGAAAGATAAATTGAGGGCTATTTTTCCTGATTTTGAACACTAGAGTAGGTCTCGTAGGCATTGGGCATTTCTTGGGATACTTGTTGGAGAAAAGAGTAGTCCAATTCAGAAATTTGATATCTTTCCCACAGTCCATCACTTAAAAGTGTTTCGGTTTCTCTCTGCTGATGCGGAGGACTTCTCTCCAATCATCCGGAGTTTCCGTATAAGCTTTGTCATTAATTAAACTCATGTGCATAGATCGATCAGATACACCAAGCAGATTTGGAATTTTAAGCTACTTTGTTAGCATTTTCTTTTTTATGTCCTACACTAGGGACCCAAACCATCGTTCGCTAACGATCTGTTATCTAATCGACCGAGAATCCTATAAGTAAGCCAAAAACAAATATCGATGTAGTAAAAGACTAACTAGCAAATAAAATTGATTAAAGAAATAAACCAAAGTATTTTAGATATATGTGAAACAAAAAATACAACAATTTATACTTAATGGCCAAAAGTGAATAAGACCTCGGACCTTGTCTTGTAGCGTTTTTAAATTTCTTTTAACTATGAAATATTTATGTATAAAATTTTGTTTGTCGGTCAGATAGCTCAGCGGGCTGTGCGGCTGCCTCTCATTCGCTTCACTGTCGAATGGTTTAGTGGATGTGGGATCGAACCCCAGCTCGGTGTACAGAAAACAAAAAGTCTAACGCAGCAGTTTAAAATTCTAGATGAATCTGCGGCTTAGACTAGGATATGCTGGGATCTGATCGGCCTATGGTGGAGCAGTACGGCAAGAGATAAGGGCTTGCGGCTCGGTGATACTCCTCCATAGATCCCTACCGGACGGGCGTAACGCCTAAAAAACCGGATATATATATATATATAATATATATATATATATATATTATATATATATATATAAAATTTTGTAGTATGCCCCTGTCGAGAGGAAATGTTTTCGTTTATCTTTTGCAAAGGAATTTTAGAATGTTCAATACATTGCGTTTAATTCTTGTGTTTTTTCTCTAAGACGTAATAACTCTGGAAGTAGTATCAAGGTTATTTTCCAAGATTCGTAGGTCTAACGATTTGTTTGAGTTCGGTGGCACGAACGGGCATCGGAAGAAGACGTAAGAGGAAGGATTGGCGTTTGGTTTTTAGATCGAACAAGGTCAATTTCAGGTTTTGGAGGTATTCACATTGAACGGACGTGAGGCATTTTTAACCAGCAAAACCGCCAATTTAGTGTAATGGTTTCAGTGGTCGAGACCGATAACTGGTGGAAATTACTCTCTGTAATATTGCAGATTAGAATAGAGTAACCAATAAATATTTCAAGGTTTTTGTGCAGTATACCAGAATATGGTAAATATTTAAAGCAGTATATAGGGTGTGCCACAATGTGCCGTTGAGTTTTGCTTCCAACCTCATTTTGTTGTCCCTGATCGTCGTTGCAGACTATCGAGACAGTTATCTTTTGTTCTTGTTCAGAAATTTTCCACCCAGCTTCTACCCCAGAGATGTTAGCAAAATTTCTAGAAGTCTCAGTGTAAGATTATTGTGTGAAAACCCAGGTAACATTTTGTGTTAATTTTCATAGTAAAGACAAACATTTTTTTTTTAATAACAATAATTGCTTTCGTTTAAAATTTAAGAATCTGTAATAATTAAAATTATATATATTAGGGAGTGGCTATAAATGTCATAATTATTCTCTGTCTTAAAATGTTGTGTTGGCATATGACAGCTGGCATTTAGCCTTATTATTTTTGACATTAATTTATTTTGGTTTTTGGTACTTGTAATAATTTTTTATTTGCCACAGTATAGCCCAATAACATTTGTAAGTTATGTAGCAATGTCTACTTGTAAACAAAAATAGGACACATGTAAGTTTTTCTTTGTTTATTTCTATTAATATAGTTTTTATGTGTTTGTAACTAACTATATCATATATATTTTACATCATTTTATATTTTGTAGCTGTTTGTGTTGATAGTAATAAATGTTTGATTTATTTCTCCAGCCATTTTGTATATTTTAGAAAAGTCTCCTAAACTCTTGTG